TTTTGAGCTTCACCTTCACATGCAACTTTCTAAATTCTAAAGAAAAAGCACAGTTCCAACTTCTGACACGATTGCAGAGCAGCCCCGTGCACATATTCAGTATAATCTTCCTGAGTATCAAAAATGACAGGTAACCTCTATGTTTAAAACTTTTTAATCCATACAGTTCTGGCCTTTTGCCATGCCATGTCTCAATTTCCTGTCCAGTGAAACATTAACAGACATAGAACAAAATGTTAAATAAGCCTTAGGCATTAATACAGTCACTAGAAATTATCCTCAGAACTCTTATCACGTCTTCTTTAGGAATATTTCAAAGCCTTTCAAAATGTTTACAAAAGTCTTGAGATTACTGACTATAGTAGGAAGCATCCTAAAAGATAGGCAGGGTATTTCTTCTTTGTACTTCCAAAACTTTCTTCTTCAAATGCAAGTGGTGTAAGTATGTTGGTTGAAAAACAGAAGATGGGTCAGGGAATGGGGGAGATCTATGCTCCATCCAGATTTTGGACAGTGCATGGAATCCTGCTGGAGACATATAATTATTAAGGGTTAAACAGGTTTATGTCTCTCTCCCCCCCCCCCCCCCGATCTTGTCCAGAGAGCTAAACATTCACTCCTAACACAATAACCAGACAACACACAGAAACACCAAAGCAAACACCATGGAGGTAATGGAGGAATCACTGAGCTGCACATATGCAGCATTGCACTCTGTATACCCTGATGTGTATTCTCAGCAGATAACTCCTACAATCTCATCATTAGCCATGCTAGCTGGGCTGACAGAAAATTGATTTGTTTTGAAGGTTTGCCAAAACAAAAAAAAAGTCTTCCTGTGCCTACAAGAAGACAGCAGAGCAGATGCCAGTGTGAACTCTCTAGGAAGGAATTTCTAGAGTCTGGGAGAAACCACCTGGAAGGCCACCTCCTATGTTTTCACCAGATGTATCTGTGAGGGTAGTAGGAAAGACATCCCTCTAAGACAGAGCTTTCCAAACTGCATATCAGGAGACATTAATGTTTTGACTGAAATGTGTAGGTATGTCGCATTAATGTAATGAGAAACTTAGGAGTATATGTGATGTAAGCAATAAATCATATATATTTTAAAATATAAACAAAAGATATGTCGTGCCCCCATACATTTCATTATTAAAATTTGTGTATGTGTCTAGGAGCCCTCAGTGATGCAGTGGGTTAAACTGCTGAGCTGCTCACCCCAGGGAGCAGGGTGAGCACCTGCTGTTAGCCTCAGCTTCTGCCAACCTAGCAGTTTGAAAACATGCAAATGTGAGTAAATCAATAGGTACTGTTCTGACAGGAAGGTAACGGCACTCCATGCAGTCATGCTGGCCACATGACCTAATAGATGTCCACAGACAATGCTGGCTCTTCGGCTTAGAAATGGAGATGAGCACCAACCCCCAGAGTCGAATATGACTGGACTTAGTTGGGGAAAACCTCTACTTATGTGTCCATATCTCTTATAAGGGGTTGTTTTATCCTCTGGTTTGCTAGTAAACCTGAATTACAGTGTTACAAAATGCTGCATGTCTAAAAAGGTGTGTCACCAACATGAAATGTTTGGAAAGCTCTGCTCTTAAGATCTCAAAAGATAGGCAGATTCATATGGGAGACTAGGGACTTTCAGATAGTATGAACCAGAACCATACAGGGCATAACTCTGAATTGTACCAATAAAGAGATTGGTAGCCAGTGGATCTGTTGCAATGTGGGAATTGCTCACTCCCTGAAGGCATCCCCAGTTAACAATTCAGTTGTACCTCCAGCTAAGGGTTCTAGGCATACTTCAAAAGCACATTAGAACACATTAGAGTATTCCAAATGAGACATGTGTGTCACCATGATCAAATCTAATATCTCTAAAATAGGTGTAATTGATACACAATCCTTAATTATACAAATTTATCCTTCACCATCACTGGAATGTGAACTTCTGAGTTAGAGCCAGGAGTATACTCAAGCTGCGAACATGCATCTCCAGTAGAATTGTAACCTCATTCAGCACAGGCTCAAAACCTATTCACTGATCTGGTGTTTTAACTGACCAGGAGCACCTCTGTCTTGTCTGAATTTCAATTTGTTCATCCTCATTCTGTCCATCAAATTATGGCAGGCACTAATTTAGAACAGAGACAACTCCCTTGGATTGAAAAAGAAATAAATAATAGAACTGAGTTGTATCTGAATACAGATGGTACAAAATCGGAAAACTTCAAATGGTGTCTCTCAGTGGGGGACATTTTAGTAAAAGGGTTAGGTAAAGTTTTTCCCCTGACATTAAGTCCAGTTGTGTCTGACTCTGGGGGTTGGTGTACATCTCCATTTCTAAGCCAAAGAGCCGGTCTTGTGCATAGACACCTTCAAGGCCATGTGACCAGCATGACTGCATGTAGTGCTGTTACCTTCCTGCAGAAGCAGTACCTATTGATTTTCACATTTGCATGTTTTCGAACTGCTAGGTTGGCAGAAGCTGGGGCTAACAGTGGGAGCTCTTCCCGCTCCCCGGATTTGAACCTGCAATCTTTCAGTTAACATATTCAACAGTCAGTGGTTTAACCCACTGTGCCACTGGGGGCTCCCAGGGAACATTTTAATTATGTTAAATAGTATGAGGGACAAAACTGAACTCTGAGGGCCTCCACAGGTTAGCCTTCAGGAAGAAACAAACTACTATGTTTTTAAGACCGATTCCAGTAGGACAACCCTGAAAGATATCATGGTGGATGGTATCAGAAGCTGCTTGGAGGTCTACTAGAATCAACAGGAACACTTTCCTCTGTCCACTTGCTGGCGTAGGCCATAGCCAGGCCCAATGGTTCTCTTCCAGAAAGCCCTGGAACTGGGTAGTTAATTCACTCTAATACCTTACCCAATAATGAAACATTGGAAACTGGCACATAGTTGTCTAATTCTGTAAAATCTAGAGGGGGTTCTTATAACTTCCTCCTTTAGATATCAGGGAACTCTTTCATGTTTTAGCAAGACATTGATGACTCCATCTAGGCATCCAATACACGTATGATAGCTTGTACCTCTCCAAAAGTCCTATCAACATATTTGGTCTGTACAATTGGAAGAGTATCCACTATTCCACAACAAATAAAGGACAAAGTCATATCCACTATATATTAAGAGGGAAGTTTTCTTTACCTGGAATGTTTGGTAATTTCTGTTTTCCACCCCTTTGTCTTCTTGCCATTTTGGGCTCTTCATATCCAGGAGGCATATAACTGATTTGTAAAATTAGCGCACATTGTTTTCCATATATATACTGAAGGTGTTATGACCCCCCACCACCACTACCATTACCATACTGAGAAACAGCCAATATGGAGCCTTATATTTTGGGGAAGGATTAACAGCCTCCTTCAATCTTATAGTCAGCATAAAGTTACCAATGATCTGATTTTGTTTACATTTGAAAAACAATATAATTGATTGTGACCATTTGTTGCCACAGTAGCTACTTGCTGTGGTACCAGTACTTAAGACTGAACCGAAGGTACATTTTTTCCTGCACTTTCTGGAGAAAAACAGCCTCAGCGGCCAGTCCTTCGAATTTTAGCAGTGATCTGGCTTGTCATACAGTGTGAGGCATCTAGATTTCACAGAAGAAAACTTGCGGAAATAGTGATTTTCTTGCAGGAAACTGTGTCTCTTTGAAAACAGGCTGTATTTAGATACCAATGTTAAATTCCTGCTGCTTGTCTTAACTGTTGGCTATGCTCTGCATACTGTGGTTAAGCTATTGATGTATTAATTGCTAGCTACTCCAGAGACTGTAGATGCATTTCTCATATGTTCAAAGCCTTTTATTGTTGCCTGCTCAGACAAACAACTCTTTATGGGGATTATTTTAGTTGTTTGGCTACTATGAGCTATTATCTTGGATTTGCTTGTGGTGTGCAAAGGAAGGAATCTATACCAGGTGTCATGTCAGATGATATGACTTTGCTTTTCTTGTTTCTTTTGCTGCCATTGTATAGCAAAGTTTGCTCCACAGGCTATCTTTTGTATTTCCAAGCATACAGTATGTTTCTTTTGCTGGGACACACCAAACTGATGTTTCCAGCCCTGTCCAGCAAGTGAGCTTCAGTGTGACAGTCGTAAGCATGATCCCTGTTGCAATTCCTTGTCACACTGGAGGGGGCTGGGATTTCAGTCGGCTGGATCCTGATTGACAGGAGAATGGATCCATGTGGCTCACAGCAGCTGCCGCCCATTAAGTCTGCATTGGGGAACTGTTATGATCTCTTATCAGTTTTTATACTATTGAATTGCAGGTTTGTGGATACAATTCAGTATGGCTATGTAACTTTAGATGAATTCAAGCCATTATTTTCTGATTGCTCCAGCCAGTGTGGGATTTTAAAAGTATTGATCCATCCCCTGAGCCCTTCGCTCTCCTTCTCTGCTCATCCCATTGAAATTTCTCGAGGCTGTCCATCCAGTATGTAGGCTCAGTAGACTACAGCTAGTATCTCCCAAGTGTTATGTACAAATACCATTGACGTTAGTGCTTTTTGCTCAGTAGCAGCACTTATTTGATTATGCTCAGGCTTATGTTTGTTTTAGCTTTTTTTCCTCTGTATAAGTACACTGAAAATATTTTGAGGTATAAAATGCAAATTAATGGCTGAGGTATGATGGAAAAATGCACATTTTTCATTTGCTGCCATTTTAGTTTTATTTCATAATCATAGAGTGGTTTTATTATTCTGCATAGATCTCAAATTCTGAAATGCTTGAGTTGTTTTCTTCTGTAAGCTCAACATTTGTGTTGTCAGCAAATATATATGAAAGAAGGCGTTCACAGCTGCTGCCAATTTAAAATAATTCCTTCTTCTCAAATCCTGCTGTCATATCTTCTACTAACGTCACTCCACCTAATGCTTATTCTTCCTGGGCTTGGGGGTATTTGTGGCACTTCACTATATATAAGATGAGATATAGCTTTCTGTTTGTATTGGCAGTCGTCAGTCTGTGAGATTTGGACCAACCAGAATGCAGGATATCCTTACACAGCAGTCCATCAGGTTCATAATGTAAGACTTTTCAATAAATGGCTACGTTGTCCCTGTATTGCTGTTCCATGTGCTGCCTTGGTGTTGTTAAGACTTAATGCAGGTCCTATGCTTTTAAACTTCAAAAAGCAATGTGTAACATCCAGTACTTTCCAGGACTGTATATGTGTTTTATACTTTTGTTTTCATAGCGTGCAATAAGTGTCTTGGTTGTGTGTAAAGTGGATGCGTTTTTAAAGTTTCAAAGTCAAATTTTAATGGCTTTATCTTTATTTCAACTTTTGTTTTAGGTGGTTGTGTCTGTTTACCTTCAAATAGAATAAGTGCAAATTGCAAACATTCTGCAATTTCACTCTGATTTGTGCCTTTTTCCTTCAGTGACAAAAAGAGACCCTGGTGTCTTAGAGTATGTTGCCACTTCTAAACCATCTAGTATGGCCTCCCAGGGCAGATTCACTCTCCATTTCTGAAAGGAAGGCCCAATCTTGAGTTCGCAGGAAGAATCACCTTTCTGCCATCAGAGTTGTGCTACTGAAGCAAGAGCAGACACCAAGGTAGTTTTCACAGCAATAGAAGGGCACTGCTGTCAATGATCTGTCGCGGCTCTCCTTTCAGTAGCAGAACTTGGCAAGTTTTATTGGGAATATGGTTGGATAAACTATGTTCAAAAATCTTGTTAGCCTAATACCACACAATTGTTAACATGAGGAAAGATTTTGCACCACCCCAAACCCGGCCAAATATTTTCATTGGGGAAAAAAATAGTATTTTAAGGGAAATCAGGAAGAAAAGGGTTGCAAACACCTCTTCTCTTTTCCACTTTGCAACTATGGAACAGTTTGACTTTATGGCAGGTTTGATCAGTTAATGTATTGACTGAATCCTATATCAACTTTCACTTAGCTAAGTATCAGAGGCACCAAGAAATCTTGTTCATGAACGTTGAACATAAACATTGCCAGTTCTGATACTCATTTATGTAGTCTACTAGATAAGAAACTTATGAAATTGTCCATGTGGGTTGTTGTAAGTTTTTCGGGCTGTATGGCCATGTTAAAGAAGCATTCTCTCCTGATTATTCACCTGCATCTATGCTAGACATCCTCAGAGGTTGTGAGGTCTGTTGGAAACTAGGAAAATTGAGTTTATATATCTGTGGAATGTCCAGGGTGGGAGAAAGAACTCTTCTTTGTTAGATGCAGGTGAAACACCAGGAGAGAATGCTTCTGGAACATGGCCATACAGCCCGAAAAACTTAGAGCAACCCAGTGATTCCGGCCATGAAAACCTTTGACAATACATTTTTCAGATGTTTTAATGTAGCAGTTCTTACCGTTGACTATGTTGGTGGCTGATGGCTAGGGTTGATGTTTGAAAAGCCAAAAATATCTGAACGGCCATTACCATTTATTCTGAGCTAAATGAAATGTGATTTCCACAAGAATATATACACTATACATACATCTTAGTTTGGAGAGATACCATTTACAGTATTTACTTGAATCTAACGCTCAATTTTTGTGGCTTAATTTCCTTGCCAAAATTAGGGTCCGCTTTAGATTCATGTAATAGGGTAATCTTAGTGCTGAGCAAAAGTAAAAGGGGCAGCTGCTTCAGGAGCACCTGGAGCTTCTATTTGAAGGATGTCATCTCTAATGTAATGGCCATGGCCCATGCTACGCAATCCTGGGATTTGTAGTTTGACGAGTCATCAGTACTCTTTGGCAGAGGAGTCTCAAGACTTTGCAAAATAGTAGTGGGAGGCCATAACTCCATAGCATTGAACCAAGGCAATTGAAGTGGATTCATTCTGGAGCATTGATGCACCCCAAGGTTTTCTTTTCCATTGCTGAAAGCTTTGAAGTTCCTACACACTTGTTTTTAAAAAAGGAATTCTAAGCAGGCAGCAACTGTAATGGGAATATTGCAAACAGTGCATATTTTGCTGTTGCACATTACATTTGCCAGCAAAACTTTTTTGAGTTCAGGGTTTTGAAAATGGAAGTGCGCATTAGATTCGACTCAAGCAAATACACATATTTATTTTTGCAAAATGTGAAAAATGTAGAATATGCAAACTCATCTCACTGCAGGAATCCATCTTCATTTGTATTTAGGCACTCTCTTCAGAACAATGAATGTCAAGTGGGCCTGCCACATGGCTGGCTGGATAAGGGCAAGAAAACATTATTTTTTTTGGAAGATTATCATCTTGATGCCTGCAGAGGGCACAGGATTGTGTCCATTGTTTGTGGTGGTTGAACAGGGATTTACAAAAAACAAAACAAAAAACCAATATGCTGTTTTCCTGACAATCCTTATTAATTTAATATTTTCTGAAGCTTGAAGTTTAAAGTTGTGCTCAGCATACTTTTTTTTTTAAAAAAGCAGGATATATTTATCTTGTTAAAAGTAACTTGAAGGGCTGCTTTCGAACAAGCCGATATCAGTTTTTCTGTCATCTTAAAAACATCATTGACACAGTGCGCTTTCTGGTGAAGAAAGTGTAATTTCAGAGTATAATCACATTTCTCTGAGTGACACTAATAAGATTAAGTAAAGGGGTAATGAGACTGAAAAACTTTAATGTTTCTTGTCAATTAGACTAAAATCGCCCTTCTTATAAACAATATAAACTTTTGAAGGGCATAATGTGTAAAGTTTTTCTAACACCAATTGATTTCTTTGGGAGATTAAAATATGTGCCTAAAAGTGCTTTTCCTTGAACTGGATCATACTTGACATTCAACCAAAATCACAGTCATCAATTGAGGAATGGCTGGCATTTTGTGGCAGGCATGCTTGCCACATATGACTGATAATGGCTGTGAAGTATGCTAAAAATGTCATGGGTAACAATCCTGTAGCCGTGCAGCATACTGTCAGTTGCTTGACCCACTGTGTAACTTTTGGTATTTGGACATTTTCATCTTTAGTAAGTAATAACAATGTATGTGCAAATTAGACCTGTTACATTAAGGGTGAGAAAAGAGTGGCAGTGCAGAAATTACTTGGCTGCAGCTCTCATGGTTTGCAGTTGCAGTAGATAGAGACTTTAGCTTGGACTATACTGGCTATAACTAATGAAAGTTACCATCCAACTTCTGAAGGCCCACTTGTTATCTCCTCCTTTACTATATACATAAAATATAGAATTGCCCAATAGAAAGATGAATCCAGATTTAGCCAGACGCATCTGGATGGGTAGATTTCTCTACCCCCTTTTCCTTATGACTATGAGCTCTTCCACACAACCACAAAATACTTTTTACCAACATAAAAAATAGCAGTTAAAAGCTGCATTTTGTCTACACTAGGCCTCCTTAAGGCAGTGGGAGAATGGCCACAAAGCCCAGTCATGCCAAAGCTGGTTCAGGGCTGGTCATGGGCAGTGCCTTCCTACCCTCCCAGCACCCTGATTTCCCCCCAAATTACAGAAAATTCTCTTTTCTGAGTGAATTTGTGTCATTTGGGACTTCATGGTTGTTGTTAACCCTGGATCACGCATGTTGATCCGAGATGGAAGTACTAACTGCCAAAACACCAGCAAAGTGTCCTAATGTTCCTGGAAGATTTTGGACCTTAGCCAGTGATTTTTTTTAACCCAGGGTCAGGCTGGATTAATTAGTTTACCCCAGGTTAAAGTGTGCGTTGTATAGATGCTCCAGTCTGATGCAAGTACTACACTACATTGACCCTGTTGAATGAAATATCCCTGGTGAACGGGGTCCGCTCTGGTGTATAGCAAAAGTGGATCTTTGAAAATCTGGTGGAGACACTTCTTGTGAATGAAACTCCATTTGCAAGAAAGTCCATGCTTGCTGATAGATTAGTGTAGCATTTCTGAGGAGGTAGCAAAGTCCATTTGAACCAACCCAGTTGCAGGTCCAAATTTTTGATCTAATATCTCCATGTCTAAAAGCTTTGCTTGTTCAATATCTTGATTAATGAATGCTACATGAAGATAATACAATAAGACTCTGTGGCACTATACAAATGCTGTGTTAAATAGTATTGTGTTATTACTGCCTACACAACAGATAGATGTTCCACAATCACATTTCCTAGCAACAAGAATCAATGGGAAAGATAAATAATCTGTGGAAAAAGTAGGAAGGACAGATGCCCCCATCCTTGCCAAAAACCTTCCATTCAGAAAGAACATTACACCGAGCTAGCATAATGTAGTGGATTGAGTGTTGGATTGAAATAGTGCTTTTAGAAACCAAGGTTTGAATCCCTGCCCAGCTATTGAAATCCACTGGAAGACCTTTGCAGATCACACTTTCAGCCTTGGAGGGAGGCACTGGTAAACTTCCTCTGAATATATTTTAGCAAGAGATTCCTGTGCTAGCTCTGCCGTGAGCTGGAGTTGACTTGAAGACTTATCACCAACAATTGTTGTAAGTGGCCATTCCAAACATATCTGAAATTCCCTTAAACATACAACATGAATTGCATTACTTTGAGCTTTGGACTGAAGACAGTAATGCTGGCACAAAGTTGTTTCCACTTGTCTCATTTTCTGCAATCCTGCTTCAGTTTTCACGTTGGAAGGTTACTACGTTTCAGTGCCTTTCCGCTTACCTTGTGCTTGTCTCTGTAGATATGTACAAACCCATGTCTTGTCTTTACCGTGTGACCCATGGAAATGGGTGTACGAGACTTGTCTTGTTTGCTCTGTCCAAGGTGGGGATATAAAATTGTGCTTTCTTTGGCTGAATTTAGCTCATATACTTTCAACAGTAATTAATTTTTTTCATTATGTTACCTTTTTGCTTGGCTTTGCTAAAAATGTAGTAAGCTTTTAACAATTTCTTGAAAAACAGTAACTAAAAATAGCAATTTCAACTGGAACTAAATCAACTAATTTGTAGTACTAATTTTGAAATGTGATGCAGCACATAGGTTTTGAAGGTTAACTATCAAAATACAATCGTTGTTTCATAAGTTTCAATACCTCCTCCTTCCTCCTTACAAGGAAATTCTGACATTGCTGCTGACAGTTTAAGTTGACAGGCTTATACTCAGCTCCCAATTATGTTTATGCTGACTTCAGTCCCATTAAACACATTGGGATTTATGCTAATCCAGTTATTCACAGGATGGCTTAAGGTGCAATTCTAACTAGCCCTTTTTGGGAGAAAATACATAATTTATTTCAAAGTAAAAATGTACAGTACTTGCCTTTCCTTGTTCTGTATATGTTTAAGTAATGGGGACTTCCTCTAAAGCATACATGCGAATTGTCAAACTGCTAGTTTAGTTGAATTTCCCTCTTTTAGGCCTGTTATCTGAATTTTCTGGAAGGGTGGCTTCTGCAAAGTACTGTCTAAGCAGTACTTCCATTTAAACCAGTGGTTCTCAACCTGTGGAGCCTCAGATGTTTTGGTCTTCAGCTCTCAGATGTTTTGGCCTTCAGCTGGTAAACTGGCTGGGATTTCTGGGAGTTGTAGTTCAAAACATCTGGGGACCAACAGATTGAGAACCACTGGTTTAAACTATCTGTTTTACTAAAACATTTTGCTCCTTGCTAGAAAAATCAGATAAGAAGTTGTGCTGCATTAAGAAATACTGTCCACATGGTATTTTGGTTATTTTATTCTTCAGAGTGGTGCATTAATTAAATAACTCTCTGAATAATGTGTAACTAATATAAATCGGATATATTCATAGACAGGTATTTTTAAAAGTCAATTTCTCTTAAGTTTACTTTGTATTTGGACTATCTCTGATTTTCAGACTGGAGACTGGGGTGAACCATCGATTACCTTACGGCCTCCAAATGAAGCTACAGCATCAACGCCAGTACAGTACTGGCAGCATCACCCAGAGAAACTCATCTTCCAGTCGTGTGATTACAAAGCATTTGTAAGTGTGCAAATCTTGTTACATATTTGTAAGTACCCAACAGGATTCTAGCCACTGTTTATTCTGCATTCATATATTCCCTTCCCTATAGATAAATAACTTTACATAGCAAAAATCTCATATCCTGCAAGGTACTCTAATCATTTATTTATTTATTTATTTATTTATTTATTTATTTATTTATGATATTTCTGTCTCACCTTTCTCTAACTCAAAGGTGAATTAAGGTGGCTTACAACCAGGCAGCTATTTGATGCCTTAACAATATACACTTAAAACTACGTTTAAAACAGAATTTAAAAGTACATGCAATAAGACCTTTAAAAACATATAAAACCAATATATAAAACCAATACCTTCACTATTAGCCTTGTTGTCCAAAATCATCATCTGAGCAATTCCAGTATTCAATTTCAAATAATTATGTGTTTTGTCTATTGCACTAGATTTCAAAGGCTTATTCAAATAGCCACGTTTTCACTTTTTTATGGAAGGTCAAGAGGGAGGAGTCTGGGTCTGATCTAATATCGCTAGGGAGGAAGTTACACAGCCGAGGGGCCACCACTGAGAAGGCCCTGTCTCTTGTCCCCGCCAGTCGCGGGGACGAATTGCATACTTCACAAGTTATTTCTTTAATGCAGACAGTTATGTTTATTTTTAAAATAAATTCTCTACTTTGTCTTTTGATGTAGCTTTTCTTAAGAGGACCTTCATGGTGGTTTTTGTACTTTAAAGGAAACTTGGAATCCTACATGACTTGTTTCACTATGTAACTTTACTTATGCCTAGCTACATAGCAAAGGCACCAAGAAAATGCATTATAGAATTCAAGAAGACATGTAAAGGGACACCAGTAAAAGTTCCCTTCATGCATACCGTTGTGCAATGTGCATCAGTGTGCATCAGGCACTGATGTGCATTGTGCATAGATATGCATTACACACAGTGCACATCACAAATCATTGCTCATGATGCACATCACGCACTGATGCACATCACACACTTTGCCAGCTCTGTTACCTAGTAATACAACAGGAGCCCACTACTGGATATGAATATTATGCAACTGCACAATTCTAACTCCAAGAGACATAAATCTGCTTAAATAAGGCCCCAGTAGAATTCTTGTGGACAATTGCAATATTTGCTTATAGTGTTAGTAGTTTCTATATAGAACATGTAATAATATTTTCAGTTTGAATATTAGTAGAAGTCCACATGGAAAAGAAGAAAAAATGTAAATGTTCCAAGTCAAAGATATTTAGTTGACTTTGAAGATTGATTTGATTATTACTACAGAAAACAAATCCCTTGTTTCTCCTTTAAGTATTTAGGTTCTATGCTGGTAAAAGAGTTAAGAGGTACAGAATCAACGCAAGATGCCTGTGCGAAAATGAGGGTGAGTGAAACAATTACGTTTCTCTATCACTGTAATAATCATGATTGCCATTTTCAACTGTAACCCTGCCTAGTTTCTATATTAACTCAGGAGCAGATGGGCTAGGCAACGGTCTCAATAAGGGGAAGCTAAAACATAGCATAACAAGAATTGGAATGTATACACATCTCAATACTTGGTTGAGTGAGCTAAAGTGGATGATAGGGTGACTTGGAGACCATTCATAGGGTCACCATAAGTCAAAGTCAATTCAATGAGCATTAATCAGGGAAAAGCAAAGTAGATGTCACGTCTCCATTAAATTCTGTAAACATCAACATGGCCCAACCAAATGGCAGCATATGCCTTCTGCTTTTTTGGATAACAAAGTGCATCCCTAGGATGAAGGCAATAAGAGCAGCAGCATCCAGTAGCTTAATGGTTCCCAAATGAAATCTCCACTGGCTGCTGTGTGACTTGATAGTAACCAAAAACAAGAACAACCGTAATATGTTAGTTTTTTCTAAAGTATGCATGCTGATAAACAGTAAATGTGCAAATCAGGTGCAATGTTTAAAATGCAGAACAGTTCTTCAGATATCTCTAGAAAGGGCAACCATTCACTCAGCAACAATGGTGTTGGTTGTGTCAACCTTACCTCCATTTCCTGGCATCAAAAATTAGAGATAGGAACTGCTGTGAATTGTTAATGAATTTGGTTAGCAAGCCATCTTAAATTTTCAATGCGTAACTTAAGTCCCTAGGACATTTTAATAAATCGAAGTGTCTGTTTCTGCCCAATTTGAAACTGCAGAATAAATATATGGACATTCTTCCAGCTATCTCCCTCCCATCCCCACATCCTTGATGGATATTGAATTCCAAAACCATATATGGTCCAAGCCTAGTACTATCATCTCTCAATGTCAGATGAAACACATCAGATGAAACACAGCTGGGCTTTCCACAGAAGTTGAGGAAGCAGGAACCCATTTTGTTTCCTTCTGCTTCAGGATAAGCTTTGTTTAAATTTAACTGTTTTCAGTGCTGCTTGTTTGAGAGGAGGGGCTTCCTGAGTTTAAAAATTAACTGCTTTGTTTGAGAGGCGGGGCTTCCTGGTTATCCTATATAAACCAGTGTCTGAACCCAAGGGGCAGCTGGGCTTTCCACAGAAGTTGAGGAAGCAGGAACCCATTTTGTTTCCTTCTGCTTCAGGATAAGCTTTGTTTAAATTTAACTGCTTTCAGCGCTCGTACACTCAGTAACCTATACTTTCACCCCTGCATACAGACAACAACATAAAACACACACCAAGAGGAGGTCATTAGCAACCTCCAGATGGAACAAACACGAAAACTTCCCGTCTCATGCACAAGCTGTGGCATGTTCAGCTTTTTCACACTACAATTACTCAATTACATCTGCCCCAAGTGTAAACAGATCACTCGCATGGAACACAGGATCCGACAACTCGAGGACCGTATTAAGACCCTTAAGGACATTCAGGAACTTGAGCTGTTCTTAGACACCACACACCACACTGTCCTAGACACGCAGCCCATATCACACCAACATTACGGGGAGGCTCAAGAGAACAGCACCTCAGATGTGGACAACCCTCAGGCTTGGAGAAATGTCACCCTTAGAAGGACACATAGGACCCGGAAGCCTCCTCAGAATTCTTCCGCTCAGCTGCAGTTACACAATAGATTCCAAATTCTCACACAACTTTCACCTGACCAAGAAACACAACATATTGGGGAAGACCAGAATGGCTTAGATACTGATCAGTGGCTCATCCTTGATCAGTGTGCAGGGGATAGCCCTGACTGGGACAACACTTCACAACATTCACACTTGCACAATCCTGCAGGTGTACCATCCCCAACCATAGACCAGGTGCAACAGGAACACATACAGGAGAACCATAGGCTCTTGGACGAATCTCAATGGATTGTCCTTGACGAATGCACCGGGGATGTCGAGGAGGAGGACAACACTTTTCACCTACACAATTCACACCAACAGGATCACTTTTCTGGAGACCTACACACTACATTGCACAAAAGGGGCCCTGTCATTCCCGAAAGTAAACAGGTCTTGGTAGTAGGCGACTCCCTCCTTAGAGGAACGGAAGCTGTCATTTCCAGACCAGATGGGATGGCTCGAGAAATATGCTGCCTACCGGGGGCAAAAATACACCATATCACTCAGAGGCTCACCAGGCTCCTCAAGCCCTATCACCGTCCTCCCCTCATGTTGATTCATGTAGGAACCAATGATACTGCAAGGCATACGTTTCAAAAGATCACAAATGATTTTCGAGCTCTAGGAGCAAAGCTAAAAGAATGTAATGTACAGGTGGTCTTTTCATCCCTCCTCCCTGTTGTAAGACACGGACCCACAAGAGCCAGAAAAATAGTACAGGTCAATGACTGGCTTAGAAAATGGTGTCAGGAGGAACGCTTTGGATTCCTCGACCATGGCCTGCTTTTCCAGGAGGATGGCCTACTGGCAAGGGATGGGGTGCATCTCACACAAGTAGGAAAACACCTTTTTGCGCACAGACTCGCAAACCTCATTAGACGCACTTTAAACTAGGTCCACCGGGGGAGGGGGACAACAGCCTTGCGAACACTACTTTACCCATAATGTCTGGGAATCGCCAGAAGGCTAAACGGAGGGCTGCACAAACACAACAAGGACCAAGTACCAAAAGCACAATAATCCCAATTAAACAGCTCAAGGGAAGATCTCAGGGGCTCACATGTCTCTACACTAATGCACAGAGCATGGGAAATAAACAAGACGAACTCCAACTTTTAGCACAACACCACAAATATGATATCATAGGGATCACTGAAACCTGGTGGGATGACTCCTATCGCTGGAATGTAGATATCGAGGGGTACAACCTCTTTCACAGAAACCGAACAAAGGGGAGAGGAGGCGGAGTAGCCTTATATGTCAAAAACTCTTATGCTGCAGAAGAGATTCAAGACAGCAATCTGGGAAACCAGCTTGAAATCATCTGGATAAGAATCAAGGGAACTGGGACTCAAAAAGATGTCGTTGTAGGCGTCTACTACAGACCCCCAAGCCAGGAGGAAGAACTTGATGAAGTCTTCTGCCAACAGTTGACCAAACAGGCACAGAGAAGAGATGTAGTAGTCATGGGCGATTTCAACTATCCCGATATTTGCTGGAAAACAAACTCGGCCAAGAGTACAAGGTCCAACAAATTCCTCGATTGCCTTGCAGACAATTTCATGGTCCAGAAGGTAGAAGAGGCAACAAGGGGATTGGCTACTCTTGATCTCATCCTAACAAATGCGGAGGACCTGATCGATGCGGTCGAAGTGGTAGGATCCTTAGGGGCAAGTGACCATGTGCTCCTGCAATTTGAGGTACAAAGGAAGCCGAAACTAAGACAAGTCAAACCCGCATTTTGGACTTTAGGAGAGCTGATTTCCAAAAAATGAAGGAAACGCTGAGCAGCATTCCGTGGACACAGATACTAAAACGACAAGGGAGTTACGGATGGATGGGAATTTCTCAAGAGTGAAATACTCAAGGCGCAATTGCAAACCGTGCCAACAAAGAGAAAAAATAGGACAAGTGCAAAGAAGCCAGAATGGATGTCCAAAGAACTTCTAACTGTGCTAAGACACAAAAGAGACATGCACAAGAAGTGGAAAAAGGGAGAAATCACCAAAGAAGAATTCAAACAAATGGCCAACACCTGTAGGGAAAAGGTCCGCAAGGCTAAAGCAAAAAACGAGCTCAGACTTGCCAGGGACATTAAAAACAATAAAAAGGGCTTCTATTCTTATGTCAGTAGAAAAAGGAAAAACAAGGAGGCGATAGGACCTCTTGGAGGAGAAGATGGGGCAATGCTGACAGGGGATAGGGAAAAGGCAGAACTACTTAATGCCTTCTTTGCCTCGGTCTTCTCACAAAAAGAGAGTCTTCAACCTCAGCAAGATGGAGTGGATGAGGGATTGGAGGACATCCAACCCCAAATTTGGAAAGAAGTCGTCCAGGAATACCTGGCCGCTCTTAATGAGTTCAAGTCCCCAGGGCCAGATCAACTACACCCAAGAGTATTGAAGGAACTAGCGGAAGTCATTTCGGAACCATTGGCAACCATCTTTGAGAGTTCTTGGAGAACGGGAGAAGTTCCAGCAGATTGGAGGAGGGCCAATGTGGTCCCAATCTTCAAGAAGGGAAAAAGGATGACCCAAACAACTACCGTCCGGTCAGCCTCACGTCGATACCGGGCAAGATTCTGGAAAAGATTGTTAAGGAAGCGGTCTGCAAACACTTAGAAACAAATGCAGTCATCGCTAATAGTCAACATGGATTTATCAAAAACAATTCATGCCAGACTAATCTGATCTCTTTTTCGATAGAGTTACAAGCTGGGTAGATGCGGGGAATGCCGTGGATGTAGCGTACCTGGATTTCAGTAAGGCCTTCGACAAGGTCCCCCATGACTTTCTGGCAAGGAAACTAGTCCAATGTGGGCTAGGCAAAACTACGGTGAGGTGGATCTGTAATTGGTTAAATGGACGAACACAGAGAGTGCTCACTAATGCTTCCTCTTCATCTTGGAAAGAAGTGACAAGTGGAGTGCCGCAGGGTTCCGTCCTGGGCCCGGTCCTGTTCAACATCTTTATTAATGACTTAGATGAAGGGCTAGAAGGCAGGATCATCAAGTTTGCAGACGACACCAAATTGGGAGGGATAGCCAATAGTCCAGAGGACAGGAGCAGGATCAAAACGATCTTGACAGATTAGAGAGATGGGCCAAAACTAACAAAATGAAGTTCAACAGTAACAAATGCAAGATACTCCACTTTGGCAGAAAAAAATGAAATGCAAAGATACAGAATGGGGGACGCCTGGCTCGAGAGCAGTACGTGTGAAAAAGATCTTGGAGTCCTCGTGGACAACAAGTTAAACATGAGCCAACAATGTGATGTGGCGGCAAAAAAAGCCAATGGGATTTTGGCCTGCAT